CCAGTACCAGTTTCCATTTTTATTACCAACATTGAGAAAATTTTAATTATTTATAATTAACTAAATTAAATGTACTTTAGAGGAAAACTCTGTCAGTCTACAGTTATAGGGATAAGAACTAGCTGATATTAAAGATCATTTAATTGTAAATTCATACGAGATTTACCTAATTGTATTCATCTGTTCATAATAGACATGTCTATTAATATTCTGGAAGCCAAGATAATTTTAGCGATTCACTTAAACAAATTCTATTCAGAAGCGGTGCAAGTTCGCATCCCGCCTGGGCGAAATTTATTTTGTGGAGAGCCCTTTGAATAAATTTTCACTCTCACTATAACAGGGTGGTTATTTTTAGGATAACTCGACTTAATCAAAAATTAAAAAAAATATATATATTCATAGTGAGACTGCATCCCGCATATTTCAGTTTTCTTATTGAATTAATATCAAGTATTATGAGTATGGATATTTCAAATAGTTCAGGGATATTGTTTTCATTCATTTTTTTTTTTGGTATTTTAAATTGATAATTTATAAATAATTGAATGTGATGAAATGCAGTGTTTAAAATTTCTGCCTAAGTTGTTCTATATCTCACGGATAAAGAGGACATCAATCATATATTCAGAATAGTTATCAAAATGAAATGTGAGGCCTAACTATTAAATTTAAGAAAACACCTTGGCACTCCATATGATACACCAATTGAAAGAGATATAAAGTAAGAGACAGTAGCGAAAATTAAATACCTAGGATAATTATTTAATTTTGAAGGCAACTAAACCAATCATATTGAAAGAAAAATCGATGAAAGAAGAAAAATCAATGCAATACTCAAGTCAACTATGGAGCTCAAATATACAGCGAACGAAATATGCCTCGGAGGTACGGGTCATCAACGCAAGACATATGAAAAAGACTTTTGAAGTAGGGTACCAAGGGAAATTATAGGAAGTATTAAAAAGAATATCTGGTTTGCGTATCTAGGTATGAAAATAAAGGGGAGAAAGAAAAGAGGAAAACCAAAGATAAAATAGATAGCGTAAATGATCTGGTGGTGTTCACTCACACGACTTTCCTACCTACTTCAGAAAAGTATTTATATCTTTACATATGTTCATCAAGAAACAAAAAAAAAAATTGAATTATATTTATTTTCCTGAAAATTGATCAAAGAAAAGATTTTAGTACGATTTATTTAATAAACTAAAGCAATATAAACCGGCTGAAGGTAGATCAGTATAAAAATTTCAATACCCTCAAATATTGCTGATCAAAAACTTTTTGCCATAGCTTAATTTTGTCAAACAATAATTCCGGATAAAAATAGAGGAAATAATGAAGCTTGTGTGATGCGGGCAAATGACTATCTTAGTTTCATTTAGTTATCTTTTTTCTCTCATTGACCCCTTTCTGATACCAGGATACGTACCAGTAATCTTACATTAGATATTGAATAGCTATAACTTCGTTAATAGTTGTCCGAAATGAATGATTTTTATATAGTTTTGGTTGAAAATTTCATTACCTTTAAAAAAAAACCAAGTGTACCTAATATAGTACACCTAGTAGTAACCTAAACGGTTTAACCTAGTATAGGTAAGAAAGTAATAAATTAAAATAAAAAAATAGAATATGCTGTATCATCGCTAATACTGGTTCGATTCCGATGATTTTTTTTTCTGTTTTGTTGGTAATTTAATTACCTTTCGAAAGTTTTATTATAAATTTTATATTATAATATATGCTTAGGGAGTTAGGCCCCAAAACATTTTTCTTTTATTTATAACTTTTTTCCTGAATTTTCTTCGGGATTTAGTTCATGTACGAAAATTGAAAGGACAATTATTAGAACATTATAGGAAAGTTCCATCAAAATTGTTAGAGCCGTTTTCGCTCTACAGTCTATAAAAAAATATGTTTTTAATTTATTGGGCAGCAGCTATTGCACATAAAACACCTAATTTGTGTCACAGGCATCAGTAATCCAAATCCTACAAAAAAAAAAAAAGAAGCAACAAAATCCGTTCACTAGTTCCCGAGAAAATCTTTGCAAAGGCAGACAGGCCAATGGTTTAAAAAGTGTTTTTTGGACTCAGGCGACTCTGAAACGTATAGATCCGTCAAAAACCGCATATCGGAAATTTGATCGATCACAATACTTTCATTACCTAGTTTAGGTAGGAAACTAAAAATATACTGTGGTAGATTTGGACTATAGCCCTGTAATCCACCATCAAAAAGCCCTGTTATTTAAATTGTTTAGCTAAATATTACATTTTTTTTGGCTATAAAAAAATTATTTGCACTAGTCAACAGTAGACAATCAGCAAATGTGCTTGAAACATATGATATAAATGATATGTTAAGCGTGGGGAAGGAAAGTGCTCAGCAGCACTCTATATCCGAACTTCTTTCAATTACTTAAATTGTTTAGGGAACGGAATTTTTCAGGGATCAATTCCGGAAAAACAAACAAAATGATGAAAATAGTGCTGTATAATTCTGACTTCGACACCATTTTATTGGCCCCCATTTTGATGTAAAGTTTTCCTTCACAGTTAATACTAGTCAATGATAAAGTGTGCACACTGTCATTTTATTTTTTCACCAGAAATTACAACAGAAAAATATGATTTGCTAAACCTCAAGGAAACAGCCTGGGGGAGGAAGAAATGAAGCTCAATTTCAGACACCGAGTGAATCCAAATTAACCATACAATTATGCCAACGCCATACCAAAATTGTAATTTCACCATCAGCAAAATTTACTTCATCTTTCAAGATCAACAAAATTGTACAAGTGGACACAATTTTTTTTTCTGTTTATATCCATTTCATACAATATAATCATGTTTTGAATCATTTGTTGAATTTATACATGTTAAACTTCAGTGATCCAACCTCATACAGTCATACATTACCAGCGCATTATCACTCAATTATAGGTCATGGGTAATATTTGGATCACACCTAATTACCATGACTAAATAAAGATCTCTCATCCAACGCCTTTTTAGTCTCCTTCTCACGTTCTGGAGTACGTCAGCTGTGGCCATGTCTCTTATTAATCGGTTGCGATGTCCGTTTAAACTAGTATAAAATCGTTCGTAAAGGGTCGTTATATGTTGGTCAACTCTTGGAAGTTGACGGTCAGTCAACAGAGTTTTGTCAGTCACTCACATTTTTTTTAATCGCTTTAAAAGTGCAATTCCAACATTATATACGTTTTCATCACTTGAAATCTATTGAATCCAATCAATTAAAAGTATATTGGAAAATTTTAGTCGCCCCCTTTTATGTTTCTAATCTTACATTACACACCTTGACATTCCTTTAATCACAGAAACTACTACAGACCGTTTTAATAATTTTCATGAGAGACTGACTCTAAATTCAAATCCACTTACTCAAGCTCTATCTACTGCCAAGAATAATCCGTCCAGAAGACTGCTGAGGCGCTGGCCAAGAGACTTGCTGCATTGAGCTGCTTGCTATCTTCATGTTGCTATGTTATATTCACTTATCGTGTTATTTGCTTTTTTTTTTCTAATTTTCTAATCTAGTGCTCTCGATTAATCTCCGCTGGCTTTAGTACCAGTGATGCGGTCGAGAGAATAGCGCAGCGTTCTCCTGGAGTTCCCTCGCCTGATTGTATATAGTATGAATGTGTTTTTTGCTTAGTTTTAATTTTCTTATTTTTAGGTTATTTTATTTTATTATTTATTGTATATACTTTTATAGTGTGAATGTCATCCTACCTCACTATAACCAATGTCCAAGAGACAGATTGTTGTAATACTCAATAAATAAAAAATAAAAAAATGTATTAGTATTTTATCTTTTACTATTTTCAATTATTCATAGTCTTGCTTGTTTTATTTAATTTTTTTTCGTTATGTTCTGTTCTCCTTAATATCATATTTGTTCATTACCATTGTAGATAGAAAATTTATCTTGACAGATCAAATTTATTCGAGATTTTTGCAATGACATTAATGAGTATATAAATATATACTAGTAGGCCCGTGCGAAATATTCGCACAGCATATTATTATCAAATGCCAAATTAGTAATAAAATAAAATATTGCAACGTATCAAAAGATAAAGAAATCAAATACTACTTTATCGATTAATATAATCGACAAAGAAATAAAAAATTAATTTAAATATACATTTTTGTTTGAAACCAATATGATTACAAATTTCAGTAAACTGTATCTTTGATAAAAATTGTCCGATTTCGATGATTTGTTTTTCCTTTATTAAGGAGTCTAGTAATCTTTTATATGGTCATGGGCACAACCGAGGGAAAAGTGTGTAATTTTTTAGTTAATCGCAAATAAAGTTTGTTTTCTTTCATAACTTGTTTGTCTGAATTTTTGGGGTGATTGGAGGAAGCCTTCGAAATTGGTGGCTCAATCTTGAGATTTGGTGAAGAATTAACGATGATATGGCTTGCCGATCAAACACACCATCGATAAATAATATAAACTCCTCCTCTCTCGATCATAGAGACCTCAAGTCGACGAAATGAGACATGTATTCAATGACAGTACTACAATTAATGTAAGGTAGTGTGGATGCGAACCCTATGCCTTGCGTTATCACGAAAATAGTGCGTTTTTGGGCTTAAAAACGCAGGATCCGATAGTTCCAGAGGAACTGTTCGGGTCTTGCTGTACACATCAAAATCTTCAAGGTCCAATTTGTCCCGTAACGATCTACAGACCTACTACCGTTCCAGTATTGAAGCCTAGCAAAATGTTTGTATCGACTTTATTTATTGTAGAAAGAAAAACAAAAGTGGAGAATACGATTCGGAACCCTCCGTGAAATTCTGAATCTAATGGTACCCCATTCATGGTATTTGAGCATGACAGAAGTTTATATTTGGTACAAAACCGATTTCGAGCCTTACTGTAATAATATATGTGGGGATGAGTATATCTTTTAATAATTTTCTAATTTTCATCTTCTTTTGTTTGTTTTCTAGTTTCTAGTGCTCGCTCTTTGGCTTACCCTTTCTTTCGCATTGCCACTCAACGAAGGAGAAAGAGTCAAGAGAGGATTCGAACTGGGATCAAGGTAAGTTTTATAAATTAATTGAAAAATAATTTAATATGCCCTCCTTCACTATTATATTTCTAAATTACAGCGAAGAGGAAGAAGAAGAGGACAGCCACTCAGGTTTGGATTTTAGCAACTTCCACCACGGATACAGCCTCGGAGGTCCTGGAGGATTGGGCTTCTCTTCCCACCACGAACCTGAGTTTCACGAGTCAGTCCAGGTTGAGCCAGTCCACAAAACCTTGAAGGTACCCGTCCCACATCCCGTCAAGCAGCCATTCCAGATACCCTATCCAGTCAGAGTATTGGAACCGTACCCCATCAAGATCCCAGTACCAGTCCAGGTAGAGAAAATAGTACAAGTACCCGTAGAGAAGATCGTCGAGTACCCAGTCGAGAAGTTGGTACCCGTAAAGGTAGTGAAGAAAGTTCGTGTTCCAGTACCGAAGCCATACCCAGTTCCTGTGCCAGTGTACAAGACCAAATACGTCTACCACACCAAGAAATACTATCATGGCCACCATGAATGAACTGCGACCAAGGACTGATGATAATTGTTATTTTAATTTAATAAATAATTGTTAAAAATAATTAAAATCACTTTATTAAAACCAAATTTCAATATAAGATAAGAAAATTACTTTCATAAAAATATGTACGGAACCTAAATTGTTATTCTATGTAAACAATTTATTTTGGTTTATTATTTTCAATAATCAACCATTGTAATCGACCAAAAAATTCAAAAAGTTAACCCTCTCTCAAAATTTGAGGTTTCACGTTTCAGGATGTGTAGAATTCGAAAAACAAATAAAAATTTTTATTCCGTCCGCCGTCCACGCATTTTCTCCGAAACTACTGGACCAACTTTTTTCAAATTTGGATATAAAATCAGAGGTCACCCGAGGATGATCCTCCTTCATTGACATTACTCTCCGCCTTTAACTTTCAAAATGGCGGCTGTAACTCCTATACGAATGTATACGATTTCAATGAAACTTCGCTAAAGTCATTTTCTCGACGCCCTTTAAATTTATCTATATAACATACTTCAACGAAAAGAAGCTGGAAAAAAAGTTACGAGGTAAAATTAAATTACGAATAAATCGAAAAGTTTTTTTGTTGATATTGTTTTTTAAAAGATTACGAAATTTCCTAAAAAAAATCGTTACAATCGGACAATTAGGAGCAAAGATATGGTCTCCGGTTTTTTTTATATGTTCTACTTCACATGTTATATCCTTGCTTTGGTTTTTAAATTTTGAATGTGTTACTGAACTAATGCTATTTTTTTAGCATATTACTAATGATTAAAGAAAAACAGTTTAGTCCAATAATTGGAATTACCTTTTGTTTTTTTTTTCTTTGTAACTCGGAAGGTAATGTTACTTAAGATGTATGATTGTTTGGAAATAATAAACCATTGTGATGTAATTTGCAGCGTTTTTTAAATGGTTTCCAGGTTTAATAAGAAATTATACTTTTTTCATGTTCAACATTGGTATAAAATATTAACTATGATTATTAATGATCTATGTCACATACCAATGAAATAGTTTTTAACTGAATTTGTTCTTTATGACTTCTGTAACACATGCTTAACGTTGTCACGATACACACCAAACAGTCCTTTTAAACTATATAATGATTTAAAAAACATTCATTCCAAAAACTACTACAAATCATTATTTAGAAAGATTTTAGTCTCAGTATTTTTACAAATGACAAATATTATCCCTAAATGAAAATATCTGGTGTGTCCACTCACACAACTTTCCTACCTATTTCAGAAAAGTTTTTATATCTTTACATATGTTCATGAAGAAACAAAAAAAAGAAACTAGATACATTTTCCTGAAAATGGATCAAACATAAGATTTCAGTACGATTTATTTGATAAACTAAAGCAATGTAAACCGGCTTAAGGTAGATCAGTTTAAAACTTTCAATACTTCCTAATATTCCTGATCAAAAACTTTTTGGCATAGCTTAGTATTGTCAAACAATTATTTCTGTTAAAAGTAGAGGAAATAGTGAAGATTGTGTGATGCGAGCAACAGATTTTCTTACTTTCACTTAGTCATCTTTATTTCTCTCATTCACCCCTTTCTAACACCACGATATGAAACTGTAATCTTACATTCGAAATTGAATAGCTATAACTTCGTTAATAGTTGTCCGAAATGAACGATTTTTATATGGCTTTGTAGGGAATTTAATTACCTTTCAAAAGTTTTATTATAAATTTTACCGTATGATTAATACTTAGGGAGATAGGCCCCATAACATTTTTATTTTCTTTATAACATTTTTTCCTGATTTTTTTCGGGAATTTAGTCTATATACGAAAATTGAAAAAAAAACAATGATTAGAAAATTATAGGAAAGTTTCAACAAAATCGTTAGAGCCGTTTTCACTCTATAGTCTATAGAAAAACATGTTTTTCATTTATTGCGCGCAACTTATTGCGCATGGAGCACCGAATTTCTGTCACAGGCATCAGTAATCAAAACCCTACAAAATAAAAAAAGATGCATCAAAATCGGTTCGGTGGTTCGCGAGTAAATCTTGGCACAGACGCATAGACCAATAACTAAAAATGTGTTTTTCGAACTCAGAGGGCTCTGAAACGTATAGATCCGTCGACAACGGCATATCGGAAATTTGACCCGATTGCAATACTTTCCTTACCTAATATAGGTAGGAAAGTAATAAGTTAATCTGGGTTGTTACAAGTGTGATGTGCAGTGAATTATAAATTGCTTTAATAAATATAAATGAGAGGGAAAAAAGCTAAAGTCTTTTAGGTTTATAGACAGCATTAATGTGATGAAATTGTTAATTAAGGCATACATTTGAATGTGATTATTTGTACAGACATTTATCAGCAGACTCACTTTTAATGTCTAGGCCTTTCATGTTCTCCATACATCAAGTTGTGCATAGCCCATCATGTCTTGATACAAAAATGTCTAGAAAATTGGTACTGTTTCATTTTTGCAGAGTAATCCCTGAAAGAAAATTGGTGTTGAAAATGTTGCTAATAAAATATTTTATGAGGCCTTTTTATTTCATTTAATTATTTATTTTTTAATATATTCTGAAACATTTTTGAGCTGCAGAAATAGGCAACTCGTTGTCTCTATAAATAAATAAACTGTCCAATACTGATTGGATGTTTTGAACCATCAAACGAAGAACTATTAATAACATAAAATAAATATTGGACTCAAAATCAGTTTGAAAATAATAATATAATCCATTTACATTCCAAATTTTAATGATGTTGAAATTGTCTTCAATCCTAAACTTTAAAGTATAGTTAAATTAACTTTAAATAAATACAAAATACACAAACAACTGATTACAAAGCAGAGGGCAGCTTGCATTGTATAAATGAGATGCTTGACAACTCTACCTTTTTCAATTATAAAGAGCTACCTTCAAATTTGAATTCATTGCAGCCAGATCAAAAAAACGCTGCAAATTATTTCACAATGATTTACTATCTCCAAACAATTATACATTTAAAGTAACATTGCCTTCCGAGTTACAAAGAAAAAGAACAAGAGGTGATTCTAATTATTGGACTAAACTGTTCTTCTTTAATCATTACTAACATACTAAAAAAAAATAGCATTAGTTCAGTAATACATTTAAAATTTAAAAACCAAACCAAGGATATAACATTTGGAGTAGAACACATTAAAAAAAACCGGAGACCATATCTTTTTTTGTTTTTTAGGAAATTTCTTAAACTTTTAAAAAATCAACTATTAAAAATAATAAACTTAAATAAGGAAATTTAAATACCTTTGAAACATATCATCACAATATCAACAAAAAAGTAAAAACTTTTCGAGTTATTCGGAATTAAATTTTACCATCCCTCGCAACTTTTTTTCCAGCTTCTTTTCTTTGAAGTATGTTATATAGATAAATTTAAAGGGCGTCGAGAAAATGACTTTAGCGAAGTTTCATTGAAATCTGTACATTCGTGTAGGAGCTACAATCTATAGCAACGCAGGTTTTTCGGCCGCCATTTTGAATGTTAAAGGCGGAGAGTAATGTCGATGATCATCCTCGGGTGATCTCTGATTTTATATCAAAATTTGAAAAAAAATCGGTCCAGCAGTTTCGGAGAAAATGCGCGGACAGCGGACGTCGGAAACGGACAAATAATTTTTATTCGTTTTTCGAATTCTACGTGTTTTGAAACGTGAAAAATCAAATTTTGAGAGGGGGTTATGTTTTTGAATTTTTTGGTCGATCACAATGTTTCATTATTGAAAATAATAAACCAATGAAACAACTAGGTAAGTGGGTGATAACGTATATTGGAGCAACAAAATGCCTTGCAAGTGATGCAATTTTCCCAAAACTAAACATTTGGAAAATTAGAGAAAACGTTTATTATTTCCAAACAGATAATCCTAATAAGTGTAATAAAAAAGTATCAAACCAAAAAATTTGAAATATAAAGAGCCAAATATCCTGGAGAGACCTCTAACTTAGGAGCCAAAATGGCTCAGTCTATGAGAAAAAAAAAAAAAAGGATTTTTTTCAGTTCTTTATGGATTATTTTTATTCAATTTTTGGATTCTAAGTATAAATCTCAAATTTTGAGGGAGTTTTAATTTTTTTTTCTTGGTCTATTACACAGGTTTATTACTTCAAATAATAAACAAAAAATAATTATAAAACAGATTTTATTATGGTTATTTCTATATTGTCAATAATTAGTATTTTTGTGTTGATAAAAGTTTTATAAATTAATAATATTTGTAAGGTATTTTACTGACATGTATTTTTGGACTTGAAAATGAGATAAAAGATCAAAACGTCATCTGAAGTTTCATGAATAAAAAGGTTGTTTCTCATGGAAGTGAATAACTTTTTTAAATAAACTAAGAATATGTTTCAAAAGTTCAATAGCCTGTATCATTGCTAATACTGCTAGGATTATGAATATTTTTATGTCTTATAAGGAGTATAATTGACCAATCCAATGATCAAAAAATAATTGACAAAAAGACAATGTATACTTTTATGTATGGGCTAAGTATAAATAAAATTCTGTTTTCTTCATAATTTTTCCCTCTTATTTTTTTCAATATGTACTTTGTGAAAATTTAGAAGGCTTTAAGAGGAAACTTTAGACAATTTTCATTAAAATTATTGGGTTGCCCGAAAATCAATGCAGGATTTTGATTTTTCTTTAAAATATCCCTGTATATAACAAACCGTTTACATTTACTGGATTATTCATTTAAATCAATGCATGTCGACACTTATTAAATGAGTTTAAACAAAAATTTAATAATGATAAACTTTTAAGAGTAATATAATCTTAAACACATTAAACACTGCTTAGCATCCAAAACATGGACGTAGCCCAAGCATGAAATTAACTGTACCAAATTTGTACGCTGTTATTATGTACTATTCAGCTAGGGTATAAAATGGTAGTTGCGGATGTAAATGTAAATTTTCAGAAGAGATGGGCATATTTATATTCAAAAATATAAATACGAATACCATTTATAATTGTGGAACTTTTGAACATAAATATACTTATATTCATAAAA